ACCCTAACCAGTGATAGTCCTAATCTTATAGGAATTACCCTGGTGCTGTACCCTAACCAGTGATAGTCCTAATCTTGTAGGAATTACCCTAGTACTGTACCCTAACCAGTGATAGTCTTCATCTTGTAGGAATTGCCCTAATACTGTACCCTAACCAGTGATAGTCCTAATCTTGTAGGCTGTATCTGAGCATTTCTATAATTGAACCTTAGTATTAAACGTCTGTTGTAAAAAAAAAAACTTTTAATTAGTAATTATTCTCAAGCTGTAGCATCAATTAAAACTGTTAATCAATATTTCTCTAACTATACATATTTGTTGTTGCTAATATTCTGGTATTAAACCACAGGAGATTAGAAACCATGGCGAGTGTATAGTGTTAATTAGATGTGTGAAGTCTTCCCGTCAAGCTATGGTGGCATTATTATTCCGATGTTAAACTACAGTCAATAGATTAGAAACCATGGCGAGTGTATAGTGTTAATTAGATGTGTGAAGTCTTCCCGTCAAGCTATGGTGGCATTATTATTCCGATGTTAAACTACAGTCAATAGGAGATTAGAAACCGTGGCGAGTGTTTAGTGTTAATTAGATGTGTGAAGTCTTCTCGAGTGTATAGTGTTGATTGGATGTGTGAAGTCTTCCAGAGTGTTAGTGTTAATTAGATGTGTGAAGTCTTCCCGTCCAGCTGTTGTAGGATTATTATTCCGATGTTAAACCACAGTCAATAGGAGATTAGTAAACCATGGCGAGTGTTAGTGTTAATTACATGTGTGAAGTCTTCCCGAGTGTTAGTGTTAATTACATATGTGAAGTCTTCCCGTCAAACTATGATAGAATCATTATTATATTGAAGTGATTGTAAATGTATTCACAGTTTTGACTTGTTATGTAGTACTGGCATATTTAAAATGTTTCATTTTCTCGTGCTTCTTGTTTTATCTAATCATTACACCAGATGTCGCACGCGTACAATAGTTGGTTTAACTTAAAGTACATAAAAAAAAGACTTGTCGAGTTCTTACTCATCACCTGTTTGTAACATTTATTTAATTTCGATAATATTTCAAAGAAATAAAAATGTTATACTGATTTAAACCGTGTGTTTTTCTGGCTGAAGTTTGTTGTTTTCTATAAACGGAATCTACTTACCTGCAATATAATATTTAAAATATTCGTCCGATTTGATTGCGTTTTTGTGAATTATACACGTTTAACACTATAGGCGTGATGTTGTTCTATGACCTGCTGACAAACTACATAACACTTTATAATAATTTAATCTACTTCGTTTTTCCTGAAGTTCAGAAACGTTTACACTTGATGGGTAGGCTTAGAAGCAGCATTAGGTTTGTACATAACGTTAGTTAAGACTTCGCTTACCAACTGTCAAAGTTTGGAGGGCTTGAAACAGTTCAAACTACTGGTTACTGTACATTAAAACACGTTCTTTTCAATGTACAGAGTATCATGATTTTATACACAGTTTAAACTTCTGTTTAGGATTAACGTACGACAGTCAACATAGTCTTAATATAACTCGGGCTACAACAACATCACAATCAAATAAAGACACTTTGTATTCTGTGTTTGTTTGAAAGCAAAGCTACAATGGGCTATTTTCTTGTGTCTACTGCTGGGAATCGAACCCCGGATTTTAGCATTGTAAGTCCATAGACTTACTGCTTTCCCACGGGGAGGGGGGGACACTCTGCACTAGAAATGTATAACAGGTGGAAATCTGTTGCTGTTCTAAAGTAATCAATACATTTTTAAATAAATTTTCACTCGAGAAAACTGTGTAAGGTATGATATTAAGATATCCAGCCACAGGACTAAGCAAGCGTTCTTATATGTATGATATTAAGATATCCAGCCACAGAACTAAGCAAGTGTTCTTATACGTATGATATTAAGATATCCAGCCACAGAACTTAGCAAGTGTTCTTATACGTATGATATTAAGATATCCAGCCACAGGACTAAGCAAGTGTTCTTATACGTATGATATTAAGATATCCAGCCACTGGACTAAGCAAGTGTTCTTATATGTATGATAAAGATATCCAGCCACAGGACTAAGCAAGTGTTTTTATATGTATGATATTAAAATATCCAGCCACAGAACTTAGCAAGTGTTCTTATACGTATGATATTAAGATATCCAGCCACTGGACTAAGCAATATAAACATCAGTATTACAGAATTCACATAGCTGTTTGTAGCAGTCGAACACCTGAAACAATTTAAACATCACTATTAAAGAATTCACATAGCTGATGTTTATATTGTTTCAGGTGTTCGGCTGCTACAACCAGTATTACAGAATTCACATAGCTGGTT